ATGGCTTCAATTCGAGGTTTTACGGTAGCTCATATCTGTTACTAGTTGTTTATACCATCATGATTATACTGATGATGAAACCTGGTGAAGATAATGTAAACATTAAATGATTAATAAGTTATTAACGATAATACAGTATCCATAAATAATATTACCATTATCATTGTTATTACAGTTATTATTATTGTTATTACCTTATTATTACCTATAATAATAATAATTATTATTATTATTATTATCATTATTATTATTAATATTAATATTATTGATTTCATTATTATTTTATGAATGTCAAACAATAATATTATATTGAGATGAATTTTGATTAATGTATACATTCTTTATGTTAAGAATAAAAATATCCATGAACGCACATCAATAAGGTACTGTATTAATGCTGCTTTTAATGACACTTAAATACTAAAGTATCAAAATAAAAGAAATAAAAAGTTGCATAGTAGTATAAAGTGGAAATATACAAATTTAATGATTGCTTAATGTTTTTCATGTTTCTTATGTTTCTTAATCAACCTGGTGATGATAACATAAACATTAAACATAAGATTAATACGTTATTAACGATAATAATATCCATAAATATTATTATTATTATTAATATTATTAATATCAATGAATGTACATAAATAAGGTATCAACGCTGCTATTATTATATTTACACTTAAATATTAAAAGTATCAAAATTAAAAAAAATAAGTTTCATAGTAGTATAGTGTGGAAATATTCAAATTTAGGGATTGCTTAATGTTTCTTATGAAGGTAATAATATTAATACCGTCTGCCCTCCAATTCGAGACCACTCTGAGTATCTGAAGTTTGGGGCGGTCTCGGTGTTCGGTACGTCTCAAATTAGAAACCTCTAAATAGAGACCACAGGCTTAAAGTGGTCTCCACGACATAATAATTGGAGGGAAACCGAACCTGAAACCTCTAAATGAAGACCGACGATAAAAGTGGTCTCTAAAAGACAACATGGGATAAGCATTTATTTATTTCAAAGAAACTGTTGTTTGCTTTTAAATTTTTATTGCCAACTTTAAGCTGTCTAAAATACAATGGAAAAATATGAACAGCATGCTGTAAAGTATAAACATAACTTTTACACTTTATATTTGACTAAAGTTAGGTTTAGGTATGTAGGTGTCCATCCACTTAAAGATTTCCGACCATCAGGTGCTATAATCATCAATTTTCTTACAGGTCTCAGCCCCAACCATGGTGAGTATGAGGTGGTCTCCATCCTCCACCTGTGAAAATCCCTCCCTTGTTCTCGAATTCCCTGATCCGCCACTGCAATTGTTGAATTTTACGTGCCAGAATTTTTTAAAAATTAATTAAGAACAGTTGCTGAGACTGAATATTCCCCTCTTTAAATGGTTGCGAATCCGATTATCAATAGTATTTATTTCTAACCTAGGCCTTTAGGAATAGGGGGTAAACACTTCTTACGATGCATTTTTGAGAACTAGGGAATTCTCCTATCACACCAAAGGGCCCGGCAAGTCGCTGTCTTTGTTTTAGCAATTTGAACATGAGAGAGGAGTCATGTCTTCACAGAATTTTCCTTTTCTGAAATATATTGCTCACTGTACTGTATTAGATTGTTTTGTAAACAACTCTAGAATTGTCACTCTTGCTTAGATTTCATTATCGTTATAACTAGGAGGCCTATCAGGCAGTTGTTTGAATTTTGTATATTTAATTTTTTTTTTTTTTTTGGTTGGTATGTGTCATATCTTACTGTTTACATTACAGTAGGCCTACAATACGGTATGTTTTGTTTATGAACATATTTTTTTTTTGTCTTTGCGTTGTCAACTGTAATTATTAGGCCTAATGTAGAAGAAATCTTTCCCACCCCCACCCCTACACACAGGCCTACCTCTCACCAAAATGGTCACTCGCCACTGTAAACAATAGTCGAACACAAATAACATAATAATATTTCCATTCCAAACACCGTTATGTAACAATTGATTTATTATTTTACAGATACCTCAGGGCCAAAGCAAAGTGAAGCTCACGAAGAAGGACCCGTGGTCGCTGACTGATTACAAAGACAAATCAACACCATGGAATGGTAAGATAATATCAAACCCCAGAACAGTCCTGAGAGTTCTTTACCAGTGGCTATAAACGAATTCCTAATTCTGATCAGTTTTTTTTTTTTTTTTTTTTTGTATTTTTTTAATTATTATTATTATTCGGCTTGAGATAATTGAGTTTCCTCCAGTAAATTAACTTTAACTATAATTGGCTTGATAAAAAAAAAAACTAGCTCCGAGTGGCGATTAAGTATTTAGGAAACATGAATTATGACACGGAACCTAATTATATGTAATTACATTATTGTATATTTTGTTTAAAATCACTTTATTTTCAAAACAAAGGAAAAACAGGAAATCCGAAAACAGTGGTCAGCAAATGAACCAACACAGAAAGGGCAAAAAACACATAGGGCCTAGGCCTATGCCAACACTCCTGATTTGACCAGGAGACTCCTGATTTGACCAATACGGTAGATTCCTGATTTTGAGACTTGTCTCCTGATGGAAAATCGTTTTCCCGATTTTCCCCAGCTTCTCCTGATTTAAGAGATATTATACGGATGGTCGAATGCATCCTAATTCAAATTTCACAATAAGTTACATATCCAAATCAATCATTTTGGCTCTCTAAACAGAAAGGATCTCGGAGCTTATGGGGGGGGGGCTTCACCCCCCCCCGGACCCCAAGAGAGGGAGGGACATACCTTGCCCTCTCCTAAAAAGTAAGAATAAAAAAAACGCAATCAAACAACAAGATTCATAAGATTTTTTTAGTAGTATTACGAATTCAAGCCCAGGTCGCAGATAGCTACCTATAGGTATTAAGTCTTTAACATGTCAACTTCGTGTTGATTTGATTTGCGCATAAAATTATGATTGAAACAAAAACGACGGTTATGAAACTTGCTTAGCCCATGTTATTTTTTATTTATTTTTTTTGGTTTTGTTTCATACATTACTATATTTCTTTACGGACAATAGAAATTCGAAGAAACATTCTAAAATTATTTGTAAAGATAACAAATAGACTTATCAACAGATGGTTTAAAAATATTGTTTTCCTATAAAAAATATTTCTGATAACACTGTGGATAACCACATGCACATCACATGCGTATACACTTGACCTTTTTTCATATACAGTATTAGTGATGACACCACATGTCTCAGCGTAATTTATGGGAAGCTGAATTTTCATTAAATCGGAACTAGAGATATGTTAAATGACAATTTGGCTCACCATATAATCATTCACAGACGGAATACACAGTGGATCAGGGGCGGATCTGGGTTAAAATTCAGAAGGGGGTCAAAATGTTTCCAAAAACCCCAAAAAGAAAGGGGAGTGGGGTGTCCTTCCCCCGCAGAGAATTTTGATTTCTAGATGGTGAGAAATGAGTTCTCCCGATTTCTGAGGTTTCTTTAAATGACTTTTAAGTCACTGTTTAGGTTTTCCCTTGGAACGATTCAATGAATCGATTAACCCAATTGAAGAGAAGGGGGTGCGGGTAAATTTTGATTCCTTGATGGATTACATACGTATCCTTTCTTCCAAACCTAAACCCTAAATTAAAAAAAGTCCTCCCACGGAAAATTTTGATTACCTAGATGGCGGGAAATGGGCTTCTCCATCTTTTAATTTTCCCATTGTAACTAAAAAAATTGCAGCTCACTGGTCATGAAGAGGTATTAGAATTTTCTTCTTTTTTTTTTTTTTTTTTGCGCCCAAATTTTTCTTAAACTCGGGAGTCGGGAATAACACATAAATGTGTTAATAGTTTTTGACATTAACATTTAAAGGTGTTCCGATTATTTGTAAGCTGAAACGTGTTAATTTTAGCATTTAAACATTAACACTAATTTTTACAGTGCATTCCTATCTTTATTGTCAATTCTACACCCTAATATTAGTTTTAAAAAAGCAGGTCGTTCTGATGTAACACGCGAACTCATGAAGGAATTAGCTAAAACCAATGAGTACAGTAAAAACAAGGTGAAGAATTTAAACATAATTAAGTTCCACGCAATTTTGACCCGCTTCTGGTGACTCATTTAAAAACTAAACGTGTTTAGGCATAGCTTAATGTACGTTCAGCTATGTCTAAGTTCGGAGGAAATATATTAAGATATTTCCTCAATGGTCTAAGTACGTTTTAACTTTTAAAAGTTTCACCGTAAGCGAGACAAAACGGGTGTTCCAAGGATTATATTACTGAATGACATTTTAAAGCATTTTCCAGTTTTAAATGCAAATAAAATATGTATCAAACCAACAAATGTTGTAAATTTTGAAATTACATGTTATCTATAATATACAGACACGTTAAAAAGTAACATGACACTTTTCAAGTTTATTCATAACGTGGATTATTCTTATTATTGATTACTGTGTCGTCATTCGCATTTGATACAGTATTGCCAAAGAGTAAATAGTTATATACACTTTGATATTGCATTTCATTAAAGATTGTGTATTTACCGGTCAAGTAAGACTTTGTCTTGTTAGTGAAAGATGAAGGGTCATCATCATAATCATCTCTAGACTATTATAGACATGATGAATGGGTAATTCATTTGAGAGACATTAAAGCAGGACAAACGAATTAGGGATATTAATAGAAATCTAATGACTACCTGACCAGATATTGATTTTGAAAACAATTTTTATAAAAAAAAAAAAAAGACGTCATGGTCGTCTCAAAATAAAATCTAAACGTTTCTGTCTCATTTTATATAAATGAGTGACAAAAAAATGAAACATCTTTTCTCATATCGTGAAATTTAAGCTTAACAGAAATATAGGCATAAACTAGACCATGTGAAAGTGGTCACAAATCCATTAGTGCCTAACATAAAAAAAAATGAATTAGGCATCAGTTTTGTAGAATGAGATCATTTTGTAATACCATGGATAGAGAATATACCAAAATCAGATTGAGAAATGCATTGTCATAATATACTAATACATGTCAATGAAATTAATTTGACTGCGAACAGTGGTCTATAATAATTCAGAAATGTCCAATCAGAACAAATGTTGATACATTAATTTAGGAATTCTTTAGTCGCTTCCACTACTAATTAATGGGTAACTCATCTTTTAGTACACCGATCAGGGGTTGCGCCAGATTGGGGGGGGGGGGCAGGAGTGAAAAACCACGATTCGTCGGGGACAAAAAAAATGTGTACCGTATGTATTTTCTACAATTAGTAGACTCTAAAATAGATTAAACAAGCCTTTAAAACCCCTAAATTGTTATATTTTTTGTGGGTTTCGACCCCTGGAACACCTTTCGAGAGATTTTGAGCGACGCCCGACCACGCCTATTTTTTTCGTCTGGGACGTCAGACCCCCTTCGGGCAAATCCTGGCGCCACCCCTGACAGTGATTTTGTTACAGATCCAGGAAAAGAATTTAACTGAGGAAGGGTTAATTATGTTACATATATTACTATGTTTTTAATGTACAGTATCTATAACCTATGCCTACTCGAGAGATGTTGCTGAACACATAATCATGGCTTCAAATAATTTATGTATAGTTACAAGAAATGAGTTTCATCAAGTGTGAAAAGTACCGGTAGGAGAAATGTGCTTGATAAAACAGAACAAATACATAATTCACACACAAATATAGGAATTTTATGATTAAATATTAAAAGTAATCTAAACTATTAAATTCCATGAGAATTCTATTATAAAAATCTTAGTTTTGTCCGTCACTGGTTCCTCTAATTCAAGGGTTGTGCCTTGTAAGGTTTAATTAGTTAGAGGTACCGGTACAAGTTTTTAACCGTGGTATGGTATTGGTAATGGTCTTCATTTCTATAGCGCATACTGCAGCTCAGTGTTAAGACAAAAGAAAGAAAACAACATAAAAAGTTAGCCATCAAAAAAATAATATATTAAAAAAAGAGAATTAAGTTAGGATTTCCACAACTTCGGTGCAGCAACCGAAGGATCTATCACCAGGTATTCAACTGACAAGCAGGTCGATACAGAATGGCAGAAGTGGATGATATGGAACTGCTTGCATACAATGAGGTGATACTAGCCTATTTATCGAAGATTTTTTGTTTCTTTTAGAATTGACCAATACTGGGAAGGTGAAGCGTGTATTATTATGGTTGCTAAAGCCCGTAGCTGTTGCCGTTCTCCTGTACGTCTTCATTTGTTCCCTCAGCATCATGGGGGATGCCTTCAAACTTCTAGGTGGAAAAACCGCCGGGAAAGCTCTCAGTGAAAACGAGCTTCTCAATAATCCAGTTTGCGGCCTCATGGTCGGTATACTGGTAACAGTGTTGGTACAGAGTTCCAGTACATCGACATCAGTTGTGGTTACCATGGTAGCAGCTGGCCGTAAGTATTACACTATAATTTTATTACGGTCTCAATTCATTAGAAATGCCTGTAATATTTTATCATAAAAGGAGGAAAATCAAAATCGAACCCATTTTAGAGAATGGTGAAAATATTAATGGTGATAATAATAATGAGAAGCTGATGATTGATGATAATGATGATATTGATGATGATGTAGATGATACTGATGATAAGGGTGAAGATGATAAAGACACCGGTGGCAATGACAATAATTATATTATGGGCAATTCCATAAATTCGGACGTACATTTCAGACACTTTGTGAATCTATATTTTCATAATGAAGCTTTCAATTTATTTTTGTAAAAGTTTGCATTACATCTACTGGTTAGTTCTATCAGGCCAACAATTTTTATTTTTTAACTCGCATGCGTCACGGAGATACAGGTCAAAATGACACCGTGACGGACGTAATCAGAGAAAGTGACTTTTCCTACGTCACTATACTTTTTTTAAAAACTTTGTGATGTGTGTGACATTTAAAAAAAAATATTTCCCTGTTGTTTTCCACTAATGTGTGGGCTTTCTAGCAGAATAAAAATTGAATTTATTTTTTTTTTCATTTTCTCTATGAAAACACCGTAAAATTACTGTGACGGACGTACAATTTTATCGTGACGGACGTACTTGTTTGAATTGTGACGGACGTACACATCTAAAAATACAAAAAAATCTACAATCTAAATTATTTTATTGATTAATTAATATAC